TTTTTTATATAGTATTATAAATACAATTATATTACATTATAGTAGCAACAATTGTAAAAATAGAACTAATCATAATTATTTTACCATCCCAGTCATATTGAGTGCGAAATTATAATATTGATGTTATGTTACTTTTAGTTTATGTCGACTGGAATGTAATTATAGTCACAAGTATCTCTCAGTATATATAGCATCATTATTTCTCTTTTAAGTATTATGACAACTATTAACACTTACAAAATTATTTTTCGTGATTTACTCTGGTGCTGCCCGGCACGTTGTACGACGTATGGAGGGCAAAGGCAAATGTTTGAGTTTTGATGAGAAGGTTTACATCAGATTTCGTACTGTCAATGATCGATGGTAATGCGGGATAAGCGAGTCGAGAAAAGCAAATGGAGCTGCAGGACTGTTCCTAATTGAACAATTGATGACAGCGGAAGACTTTCGCGACAATAGTCCTTTCAAATTTTCCGAATCGTATAGAGAAGAGTGTGTAATTTTGAATTCATATCGCAATTTTCAATTGCCTTCGATTAAAAAAAGATTCAACTTTTACGTTTATCAACATCGAAAAATATGTTAACGGTAGAATTCAACAAAATTTTGCAACTGCGTGTTCTCTATTTTATTTGCTGTGCTATGTATGTAGATAGATTGTACAATTTCCGAATTCCAAACAGGTAAATTTTATTTTACATGTAGCATGTACTTTTTCAGTGAAATTATTTACAATCAAAATTAGAACTTAGAATTTTTAGTACTAACGCTGTACGTTACAAACGTAAATGTTGCAAAATTTTGAGATGTATTAACAATTATTTTAATAAATTTCTCATTATTTTAACTCCGCGTAACTCACAATTTCTCGTAAATGTATTTCCGCCGATTCGATATGCCTTGTCTGTCTGACTATGCCATCATTGTTCTACTTACAGTTTTGAAGCTACAGATGAAATTTTAAAATAATATAGTTTTATTCCTACAAATTTAATACAACTAGGTTTCAGTTTTACTAATAATTATTTATTAAAAAATATATTTTTTCAATATTGATCGGTGCAATTAAGCAAATTAAAGTTCGACTATATTAAGGATTGACAGAAATATCTCGAATAAAATTAAATTTAATCACTTATATTTTATTATTATGTGATAATAATTTTATTAATAATAATAGCAGATTTCACAGGGTATTCAAATTTCATCGTGATTATTCGGAATTTCGATGGGAAACTAGTACGCTAGGACAATCTACATATTTAGAATTATTGCACATGCAATGACGCATGTCCAAAATTCAGTTAATAATCAGGCACAGTCAGACGTATGTTGTAATGATACCTACTTTTGATGGTCTCGCGCATCGCAGCGATTTATGCATGTGTATGAATGCCATTTGATCGACGCGCGTCACAAAGGTTGTGCGCGTTAAAACAAACATTATTTGTATGTATATACAATATGACGTATGATGCACATGACGTGTGTATACGTAAAAAAAGAATGGCGAATATTTTACGTATAATGTTGATATATATGATATTATAGACATATTTATATATTATGTACCAGAACAAAACTCTATATCACTCGTTGCATGCGCTTGTTAGCATAATGAGGATACGGGGTAAGCGGTGGTCGGATAGTAATACACGTCTCTTTGCAAAATACCATACCGGCTTACTTATGTGGGACAAGAAAGATCTACGAAGCGTGGAGAGTGGTCTCATCGACGCTCTACTTTGTTGACAGGTAGCAGATTGTAATATTGCCGCCGTGTGAGATAGTGTTCGGTGAACGAGTTCGCAGAGGTGAAGACAAGAAGCTGCGATGGGCACAATCGTGTTCCGTAGTCTCTTTACAGTTTATGCAATGTTTATACGCTTACGCGTTTTTTACATTATGCTTTGTATGAGAAGTTAGTAAGCAGAAATTTATCAATAAATAAAAATCAAGAAATTGGATTATTACAATTAGCTCTTATAAAAAATCCCTCTCATTTTTAATAATTATTATAAGGAATTGTCTCATATTTTATAAAGAGTTTTAAAAGATATACAGCAATATACATTTATAAAAATGTGAAGATTCCAGAAGAAATGTCTTATTTTCCCATAGTTTTTAAAATTAGATTAAATTAAATAATTTTATTATCTATAACGAAATATGCACATAATGATACATTAAAAGTTACTGTTTCATGTAAATACTAATATGGATTAATTAAATAAAAACTTTCACGATCAATATTATGTAATATATTATAATGAAAAATATCTGCCATCTATCTAAAATATTACAAAACTTTTAATAATCTCTTATCATTAATAACAATGAGAATATATAATAATTATTGTATTAATAAACAATTTTCATTTATTTGTTCAAGTTTTAAGTTTTCATATTTCATTTTTCATTCACAATTAGAGATACTTCGAAATAATGAAATTAACCATCTAATAGAACAAATATAATTATATAAATAAGTAATTTAAAATCTATTTTGTTTTAATTATATATATATATATATATATATGTTGTTATAACAAAGAAAAATCATTTGATCAATGATATTATACAAAACAAATAGATACAGCATATATTTGTATCATATTTGGAGTTTATTTTACCTTTGCAAAAAATTTAATGTGTTATTTGTCATAATTTTTCAAGCTACAACAAAATTCGAAGTAATTAAAGATCATAAGAAGATGAAAATTTTGTTAAAAATAAAAAATAAAAAATCTCGAGCTATATATACGAAGAATATGCATTTAAATAATTATTCTTCATTTTCAAAGGCATATAATTCGAAAATTGTACTTAATATTATATTAATCGCTAATTTGATATTGTGGAAAATACAATGCATCCCTTCTAGAAACACATCGCGCCCATAATCGGGCGATCAAGGTCCGGCGACGTGCCCATCTCCTAACGAAAGCCAATATTTCGATCATCACACGTATCAGAGTGTGCGTGTGCCGTGCCACTCGCGACAAAGTGTGCCACACGACAAAATGTGCACGCAACGAGAAGGAAGGATTGTAATGCACGTAGGAAATTTGTATTGTAGGATCTCTCGTTTACCGCATTCGGTCGCGGCGGAAAGTACGACCCTCTCGACGAGCGTTTCCCGTGGCCGGGACCATATCTCTAATGAAAATCCGCGTCGTCCACGACCAATTGCATCCCGATTACGCGCACTCCCTACGGAAAAGGACCCACAGCAACCAGGACGACGAGAAGTTTCTCTCGTCCGAGACCGCCCCCGAGACTCTAATTGAGAATTAGCGATTCGCGGATTACCGCGACGTACCCCCATCTTCTCGCGATGTCTTTCCGATTCTTCTTTTTCTTCTTCCTCGGGGGAGAAGAAGCCGGGAGAAACGGAAGAACGATGGATATTCAAGCGTGACAAGGAAGGATTGATCGAGGAGAACTCGAGGGGATACTTCATGCAACGGGTGGCGCGGTATTTTCCGGTATCGAGGACAGGTGCATTTTATGGGGATCGCGACGGCGAAGAAAAAACCGGTGTGGAAGATCGGTAGGAGGATTGGGTCTCGATAGAAGGTAGAAATAGATAGAGATAGAAATAGAAAGAGAGAGAGAGAGAGAGAGATAGAGAAGAAAGAGAGCGAGCGAGCGAGCGAGCGAGCGGGGCCAATGGAGCGGTTACCTTGGAATGCTGTGCTGTCGTCGGTGTTATAGGCGGCGTGTCCTCGGCGTCTACGCTCGCTGCGTTTGGTAATCGCTGCTCTTGCACCGACGCCAAGCTAAGCGGGTAACAGAAACCGAGTTTCGTCAGTAGAGAAAAAAATCTTTGATGTTATACAGATCCTAATTTATCTCTATATCAATTGTTAGTAGGCAAGAAAAACACATGTTAAAATTTTGCGATAGACTGAAGAACCGAGCTATCTCTAAAAAATTTCGATTAAAGTGATTCTTCTTGCCTAATAATATGCTGATAAATAATCGGTACACAGCTTGAAATTGTATAAATTCATAAAAAATATTATTAGGCACGAAGAACTGCCTTGATCGAATATGGCATTTTTCACTCGTGTATGCTTAATTTCATCAATCTATTTTCACTTAATATTGTTTAAAAAATTTGGTTGAATCTAAAGTAGTTCAATCAAGTTTGAATTAATTCCAAAGTTTGGAACCTGCGTTTAATAAGCTATACGTTTGCTTTTTCTTCATCCGATAAGATTTTATTACCGTAAGTGAATTTACTACCGTAGTTGCTGTTTACAAGCAGAGTATATATTGAAATCTTGCTAACAAAAGAATCGAGATATCTTTAAAAAATTTGATTAGACATCTAGTTACATGCTTCAAATTTTGTTAAATTAATTCAAAAAATGTAGAATCTGCATTTAATATAAGCTATAAATTTGTTTTATTTTTTAAATAAGATGAGCTTGATGAGCTTTTAATATCGTAAACGAAATGCAAAAGTGTTCAATGTCAATTTTTGATCGTGCTCGCAAACATGACAATTTTATTGAACTGAAATTTCCGATACTGTTTTAATAAAGTAAAAAGTCATACCGTTTAAGCGTTACGAGGGTGCCGGTGAGTTTTTTGCAACGTCTCAACGCGGACTCCAGTCGTTCGGGCTCTTCCTTCAGAAACTTCTCTTCGCGCACCACTTTTTCCATTTCGGAGCTCAGCAGACCTTTCATACCTTCTTGCAAACTCGGGAATCGAACTTTCAGGTCGGCCACAGTTTTGCTGGAACGCAAATTTATTATTCCGTAAAATTATTATGTGTACGTGCCATTGCATTTATCCCTAAAATTTCCCGTTCTGAATTCCGAATTTTGTTATCACCGACCGAGAGAAGACAATCAACGCGTATAAATCATTTGTAAAATTCTACCAACGTACGTCGACTACGCGACGGCAATGATGACACTCTGCTCAAGTGGGATTGAACGCGCGCGTGGCTTACCTGGATTTACTCAATATCAAAGCCATGTTCTCCACATCCGACATATTGACACGCGTCTTTCTATTGATCACGTTACCGCGAAGCTCCTCCACGGTGCTCTCGAGCTCGCTGAAATTCGCAAATCGTTTCGTTTACCTCTCTTGATTGCGGCATTTCTTTCATTGTCGTCTCTAGGGAGGCGATACTCACGTGAGATCTTTTTCCAGCCTTATCACTTCCTGTTTGTAGAGATCTTCCTCGCGGCTCAGTCGAATCTTCTCCGTATCCCCAGCCGTCCAAACTGCGTCTCCTCCCGATAATAGCATGGCCCTGCAGCAGAAATTGTGTGAATTCACAATCAATAGTCATTGAGCAATATTTCCTTTATTAAAACATTGTCAAGAGAGAAAATACATTTTAATTTTATTATAACAATATACTATATAAAAATTACTAAAGTATATGCGTTTGTAATATATTAAAATTATTACATATTATTGTAATATTTACATAAAACTGACGGGGATGACGTATCGCGCATTTTTTATTTACTTTATTCGTATCCACATATCGTACTTTTTCTATTATATTGGTTGTTCGGAAAGTAATTTCGTTTTTTCCCAACAGAGGACTTATTGTATTTTTTCACAGCCAACTTCACACTTAAGCCGCATAATCATTATATATTTTGACAGCTGATATAGCAAGGCTTGCTTGTGAAAAAAGTTCGATTGATTCTACGCAGTAGTTTTTGGTTGGTGCCCTATCAAATATGGAAAGTGAAAAGCAGCATTTTCGGCATATTTTACTTTTTTACTATCGAAAAGGTAAAAATGCTGTTCAAGCAAGAAAAAATTATCCGATGTGTATGGAGAAGATGTATTGACAGAACGCCAGTGCCAAAACTGGTTTGCAAAATTTCGATTCGGCAATTTTGATGTTGAAGACGCACCACGTTCTGGAAGGCCAGTTGAAGCTGATGAAGACACAATAAAGGCATTAATTGATGCAAACGGCGAATAACAATTCGTGAGATCGCTGAGAGATTAAATTTATCGAATTCGACCGTTCATGATCATTTGAAACGCGTCTGATTGAAAATCGTCTTTCATTTTCATAAGAAAAAAAAACGAAATTACTTTCCGAACAACCTAATAATTCGAAAGTCTCGTCAGTTTATTCATTCAATCAATTGCGAGATACGTTCGTGTACTTACCTAATCGTGATGAACGTATCCTTGATGGTCTCACGCACTGTGTGGGCCTGGGCTTGCGACATGCGCCTCAAATTTCTCACTTCTTGTCTGAGATCCTTCGCCTTCTTCTGCAGACCCCTCAGCTGATTGTACATCTCCGGCGTGAGCGCTAGGTCCCTGTACACGTACTGACCGGCCACCAGAGCGGCCGGTTTCGGCGGTGGTGTCGGCTTGTGCCTGTCTCTCTCTGTAATCGTTCATTTAGCGCGTAAGAACGCATGTCTCTCATGACGATCATCCGCGAATTGCGTGAACATTTAAGGGATTTAAGCTCGAACGACTCCGCTCGTTCTCCCGTGCGAAAAGCGCCTTAAATATCGAAGTGGCGAGCGACCGGAACCGAAACTTTGCCAAAGATATAAGACTGCGCAATCGTAAGCCTTTTCCGAATAATGTAACAGAATATCCGAAAGAATATTGAATAATTAAATGGAATGAATCATCGGCAGTACGGTTTATTTAATCAAATTCCCCCCCCAATTCTCAAGTAAACTGCAAAACTATTATGAAAAGATCGATTTTGTTGCAACAGTATCTGATAATTGTATGTACTAAGGATATTTTGTTAGACCTTCTTTGCCTTTCATTATCTTTTACGAAAATGTAATAAATTGAAGGTGTTTTATATTCTTTTACGACAACAAGATAATTTAGATCTGCAGCTAGTTAAATTTTCAGATACTTCAATAAAAAAAACTGTTGCTTTCTCTATATTAATTAACAACGGAATTTGTCTTTCTCATTTCTCTTAGCCAAATGTCCCGGAGCATTCTTTCTTTTGTCAAGCCGAATGTGCAAAGGATTAGAAATCCTACATCAGAGTCTGGCTATGAGCGATTGTGTCAAAATCCTACAAGAGAGAAAAGAAGAAAGAAAAAAAAAATATATATATATATATACATTTTCCCTATATATAATACTTTATCACTTTAACTGACACTTGTTTCAACTATAACTTTAATCAAGATTATAGAGCGAAACACAGTACAAGTTAGAGTGAGATATTAAACAGGAGGAAATTATATACATCTTTCTCTCTCGTAGGATTTTGGTAAAATTGGACGTTAGATTTCGTTACAGAGTAAACTCTGCTCTACGAAGCACGAAACGCGGCTGCCGTTACGATAGATAAACGTTGGCGGCATTTCGAGTGCGCGGCCGGTTCCTCCATCAGCTGATTAAATTTGACGTTCGCCACTCGTTGTGTCGTTGATCGACGCCTCGTCATGACCGTTTCGCACGATAGAAGAGCGGGGTCCGGTAATGAGAGGACAGGAACAGTTAAACGGGTCGGCGACACAACACAATTTTACTGTCATTTTTATTACCGCGGTTTTATTGGACGGATGATGAAAGGCATGGACAGGAACGGAAGAAAGGAGACAACGGATGACCTAACTGCTGGGTCAAAAGTGACGCTGTGTGTTTCAAATGGAAGGGCCGTGTGTCCGTATTGAATATATGTACGTGCATCCCTCATGGCGTATACTTTGCTGTGTGCTGCACAAGCGTTCCTCTACAATAACATAATTATCTTTACGGATGCAGGTGTCGTTTACTGATCGCAATGATACTTTCAGTCGGCGATCAAGTCGAGTTGCGCGAATGCACTACGAATGAAAATCTATTTCCTTGTGCGCGCGTTTTAATCACATTTCCCGGCAGTTCCGCGTTGTAATAAACGTATGCACAAATTTCCACCCGACAAACGTAGAACAGATGCACACTGGTTTCTCGATAAACATAACGTAATTGCAATATGGAATTATTTAACTTATTATGATTGCGATTGCAGTGAAATAATAATAGCTGAGAATTATGACGGAATTTACAAAAGAATAATTACATAAAGATTAATTATAAAAAGAGTATTGTACGATTGTATGTGTAAAAGAATATTTGCCGCTATTTGTTGTACGTTAAATAAAAAAGGCAATAATTTTTATTATTATATCGCAATTGCAATAATAATAAGTTAAATAATTCCACGTTTTAATTATGTCACAGCTTTTATATCTTACACCATAAATAAATATTTTTAAAAGCTAGATATTATGATTGAATTTTTATAGAAAGCAAAATATTATGATTTTATTTACAAAAGAATATACTTGTCGCTATAGTTGTATGATAACTAAAAAAAGCTGAATAATAACTTCTTGCCTTTTTTTTTATTTATCGTACAATAAGCATTCTAATAAGTATTGTTTTATAAATAAAATCATAATGTCCTGCTTTTCACAATTCAATTTTCGTAATATCCAGCTTTTAAATATTTGTGGAGTAAGATGGAAGATCATATGATATTTTGCTGTAAAAACGCATTGGTGCCAAATATAAAAGAAGCGAATTTACGTAATAATCATATTCAACTGACGTGTTCAGGTGTACCTGTTCTACATGAGACCGAGAAAACAATTCGCGTCGCGAATTTACACGTCAGACGATCCGTGAGACAATCCCAAATGAACCGACCCCACGATAAGCAACGTCCCTGCGGGCAAATAAAAGTACATATACCCGACACGATGAATAAAGGATGAATTTACGAGTAGGGCCGGCAGGACGGAAGGGCGTGGAGGGATAAGACGGATGTATCGTGATGTTTCCGAGTGATCGGCGGCAGATACGCAGCTGTGACATATCACTCGAGTTGGAGAATAGAGAAAGGAATAGACACGCGAACGTCAAATGCAACGCAAAGAAATGCATTTGTCGTAAGTCTCCCGTAAAATAATACAAACGCACGAATTGCTTCCTATCTCTCGCACGAATATCCGTGTGGCCGCGAAGCGTTCGTCAACGGGGTGATATATGAAGGGCACGTAGAAAAGGGCACTGTCACGCTTTCTCAATCGTGATCGAATACGTGCACTCAAAGAAATTATTGCGGTAGCAACTATTAGGTAATAACTTATACAAGTTTTTTATAAAGATTATACATTAAATGTAAACTGAAAATGGAACCGAACTTAGGATAAACGTGTATATATATATATATATATATTGTCATTATTTAATGAATAAATTTATTTGCACATCGTTATCCCATGTCAGCTTGTAAAGGCAATTAATTTCAATTGATTTATTTCAAGCAAGCCTTGAATTTCTTATATTGTTTATAAAAATTACTATGTATGTAGAATTAATATACATTAGAATTAATAAACTGAAATGTTGGTGTATTAAGACGCAGATAACTCGCAAATCACATAGCTTCTTTGAAAGTATCCATGGAAGCCTAAAAAGAATCAATGTACATAATTGAATAAGTTATTTTATAACTGATGCAAGTATAAAATAATTACTATAAAATAATAAGTTTTATATACAGAATTAACACAATTGAATAAATTATATTATAATTGCAATAATATGTATAAAATAATTTATTCAATTTAGATGCATATTCTACGTGTAAAATTTGAATAGTTATCGTCTATATAGTTGCTACCTCTGCCTTGTCTTCTTCTCTGAGTGTGGCTTGAAATAAAAGAGACGCACGGGTGAGAGAGGCATGTAAGAATTTCTCATTCAAACATGAGATCCAAACGCGCGATGTCTTGCAAATTTCTCTCTCTCTCGAAAAAAAAAAGAGAAATTGGAGAGAATTCCCGAGAGAAAGAGAGACAGTAAATAACATTCGCCGGTAACTGAATGTGACTGATATGAAATGCGAAATGTTTTTCAAAGTAACTTCTGCGAGCTTCATGTATTGCCGATGAGTTTCACATAAACACATACGAACGAATTTATTTGTACGTACGTGGCTTGATTTAGTTTTAGTTATTTTTCGCTTTGCGCCTGGATTGTGGGCCAGCACTCGCCTTTTTTTCTCCTCGCATACGGCATACTTTGAAAATCGATTTACATGGAAATGAACATATTAATTCATTTAAAATCCAGCAACGTCGACGTGCAGCAGCGCTCGTCTCAGCTTTTTATCGTGAATGGACTTACAATTTTCCGGTGCCCTCCATACAGTGTCGTCCCGGGAGGCGAGGAACGAATGAAAATAAAAAGGAAGAGAAAGAGAGTTCGAAACGACGGAACGACCGAAGAAGATTCGACACGACGCTCATTATGTGAAAAATATATAAATATGGTAGACACAGCGTGACACATAGGGAAGAAGCATAGACACTAGAACTGGAACTATTCGGACGTAGCATAATACAACTTTGGTCGTAAGTATAAGCACCCTCTATGAGAATTTATAATTGTACGTAAAAGTGTTTCATATCTAACGAAAAAAATTAAAAAACAGTTTTGTTAAAAGATAATATTTTATATAACAATTTTAATATTTTATTTAAGATCTCCTTTGGCTTTCATTACCGCATTTTCAAAGAAAATGCAATAAAGGGTGAATTGAGGGTGCTTTATACTTGTGGCTAAAGTTGTAAAATTAATTATTTTGTTTTAAAATTATTGTAATCATATTATATATAATTGTTGTATTAAATAAATAATATATAATCTTAAATATTTGAATGTTTGAAAAATTTATGAAAATGTTTAGTAATAAAATATCTGATTTCAGAACTTTTGATGGAATATTTATGAATTGCTCAATACAAACTTATTTTTATTTTATCTCATTTGAATAATTTTGAAGACGTACCTAAATATAGCTTAATATTTAACAAATATTAACACTTTAATAGAGAGGTATTTGTAAATGAGAAAAATAAAAGTATTTCAAGAGAAAATACAGTTTTAGATATAAGTTTTGTTTAAGTTTCATTCATGTTGATGAAAATATTAGATTTCGTAAATATACAAAGAAAATTGCCGAATAGTTCCACTTCTAATAGAAAGACGGGGAAGTTTTACCTTGCGACGACATCCTCGGCAACGTGGAGGATTTGATTGCCGGTTTCGTGGGTTTTGTATCCGCTAGTCGTGGTAGGCATTGCAGAATCGAATACGAGAAGGCGTTAGAAATTATTGCGTTAGTATCCGTGTTGGGATCGTTTGCTTTATAAATATACCTTTGTGCGAAATCTTCTTACGATATTAAATCGAGCTCTTATCTAATATCGTACTCACTGAATATTGAATGTGTATTTTAGATGTAGAATACCTATTTCTAATTATCATCGATCAATAATTATTGGCATAATATTAGAAGATTAAACAATTTTGTTAGGCAAAGTAATAGCATAAGTTGATCAAAATTAATATTAATATATATGTCATAATATATATATAAGCATTTTGGAATAGTGCAATATTTTTTATAAATTTTTATTTTTTCTCTTAAATTGGAAACGTTAAAACAATGCAGATGTATTAACTCTCTATATTATTCTTATGAAGTTTTTCAAAATGAAAAAATTATTATATTGTTTCGCTCAACGAAATTGTGGAGGTAGAGAAACGTATTTCGCCAATCATATTTCGATAATTATTTATATAAAAATTTCATTTCTGTTATTTCTGAAGAATATGTTATTAGCGTTCGATATTGGAAAAGACACAAGAAAATATGTCATAACGTGCCAGATCATTAACCGATTCATTTAGCATTATTAATTATGAATCTATTATTATGTAAATGTAATAGAAAGAAGGATTACTAAATGTGACTAAGCCATTATTCGCGTTAATCAATCGAATGGAAGTGAAGCACGAATCGAGAACTTCGCAAGATTTTGAAAGTAGCAACACAGATTCTGTGATTATAGGTCTTCGCTACTTGTAGCAATCTTCAATCAAACTTCAATCGAGATCAGATATTTCAATATTATCCCGTAGCGAAATTGCATCCAATTCCAGATCGTTGCAAAACGGCGAATCATAACACAAATTCTCATCGTTTTTAAATTGTTACAGTTTCTATTATTTCAACAGGAAAAGATCGACGTGGTCGTCACAATTTTTAATTGTAACTATTGGATTTCAATGCACGCGCAAGAGAAAAAGTTCGTCATTATCAGTCCTATCATATTAATAGAATCTGAAGAATTAAAAGAATAGTATTAGGAATAGAATAGTACTAAAATAGTATTAGAATAGTATTACTTAAAAATTTATATTTGCATATATTTGATGATTGTTATAAAACGAGAGTTCTTTCCGAATTTAGCGTTTTGCGATGTTAGCGTTTAGACGAACGTCTACCACTTCCTCAATAAGTGATCCGACAACGGTGCAATTCGGTCTTTACAGCGTGCTTAGCATACATATTTTGCGATTTTGTTTCATTTTTTTTTTTTAATGTGAAGTGCGCTAGCCGTTACCTGCATGTTGTGGGGAATGTTGTTTGGGGGAGTTCATGTCTGGTGGCTCGTCACTGAAGGACACTGACTTTTCAAACGACACCGACTTGTCTGCAATAGATGTTGATCAGCATATTTTCGCGTGGTATATGTGCGTAAGAAGCGTAAGAAGCGTGTACATGAAGGCGTGTATATCCAGCCGGGATGGACGTCGATAAATTGAGGAATAAACCAGCGCGGGCTTTCGGAATACCTTTCTCGTTCGGTTGAAAGAATCTCACTTTACAATTCTGCCATATAATTAAGCTAAAAGCACAACTTCGTGTTCTCCTTCAGCTTATTTCATCGGCTCTTTTTATCCAAATTAATTTGTAAGTGTTTTAATTAATATAATTATAGCATTTTACGATTCTTACTTCTGGAAAGCTACGGGTAGATACTTTCGCGAATCACCCCTAAAGCCAACGCTGAGTAAAACGATCGTGAAGAGGAGATTTCGGCGCGTGCACCATGCAAACGAAAATTATGGATGATTGTAAGAAACATTAAGCCAATATTCATAATCAATTTTTATTTCAAGGCCATCTTTAAATAGGGCCACATTAACTCATTTCAGGCTAAAATATTTCAAGCGGTCTTTTAAGATTAGATGATCATTTAGATAAAAATTTTTTAAAGACAATTATATTAAACTAACTAAAAATAGATTTTCTCGAAATCTTGAAAAAATCATTTCTTTATTTGAAATACAAAAAAAAAGTAAAAAGCATACAAAATGCACAAATTAATAAAATAATAAGTATATTTCACATAG